TTATTTCCCTTATTTCCTCCATATCTCCTCTTCTAATCCATTGCACCCCCCTCCTCACCTCACCCATTAACTCTGTCTTCCCCTCGTGTGTCCCTCAGAATGGAAAGTATTTTCACAGCGGTAGGGAAAGTAGCTGCGGCTGTAGCAGTCAGCTGGCTGTTGGCATGTAGCCCTCCTAAACCCCTTACACGATAAACACTTTCCTCGGGCTGCAGCTCAAATACACAATTACACTCACGTGCACTTGTCTGCGTACACTCATATGCACACACAAAGTGCATTCTGTAGCCACATCTGTTCGCATGCAGCTTTCACGTACATCTGGACGGGGTCTTTCCGTGTGTGTGTGTCTGTTTGAGTGTGTGTTAGGATATGTGGTGAGAGAGTGGACGGGTCTTACTCTCATCATTCATCAGCCCTTTTCAGTCATCATCCCCACGTCATATGTTCGTGCACATGAATGTGAAGGGTTCGGTTTAATTTGGCGTTGTATGTAGATGCGAGGACCCGTGTTTTCGTGGGACAGTGTAAAAATCCAGCTGCTGTTTTCTGTTTTTTGGAGGGACAAAGTCTGGACGCTGATCTTACATGAGACAGAAGAAAAGAAAAACTGAAGAAGAGCCGATGGGAAGAGAGGAATAATCAACAGCTTTTAAGTTAAGGAGTTTTGTTGAGCACCATAAGGTTTTGGTTTTTTTTTGTTTTTTTTAATTATTTGAAAATATTCCCCCAAAAATAGCCAATTTTTTTTTTCATCTTTTCAGGCATAAATACTTTCTAAAATTTATACAATATTTTATTTTATTTTTTATTTTTTGCCAAGGATAAGAGTTTAGTTACGTATTCTGGGTGGGAGCAGGATAAATGAAAATTACCAAGTGAAACTTTACAACTAGTAGAACTATTTTTTGAGACAGAAAGAGGTAAACAAGGTGAAACCATGGCTCACGCTGCAGCCCATCTGAAGAAAGCTCGTGAGCTTGAGCAGCATCCAGAGTACAGGGCCATGCAGAAGGCCAGGGAGAGGAGGAGACGGCAGCGGGAAAGAGCTGAGCGAAAGCGTCTGGTAAAACACATGTCATGTGTTGTGCTTTATTTTTTGTTACAGACTTATTCTCTTGTGGGCTTACCGTGAGAACCTAATGTAAGCTTTGGACTTAGGACATTGTGTGAGAGTGGACTGTGGGGGTTGCACAGATGTGGTTGACTGTGCATGCTGCTGTGGCTACAAATGTGTTAGATAAGGATAATGTTCATGGAGGATGGTAAAAATGAGTCCATTATTTTCAGAGCATTGTGTACTTTTTTAAAAATCTTATACTGGGAGGCTGTGGCTCAGGTGGTAGAGCGGGTTGTCTACTGATGGCAAGGTTGGCGGTTCGATCCCTGGTCCCCCCCACATGCCGAAGTGTCCTTGAGCAAGACACTGAACCCCAAGTTGCTCCCAATGGCAGATTAGTGCCTTGCATGGCAGCTCTGTCACCATGCAAGGCACACCATTGGTGTGTGAATGTGTGTGAATGGGTGAATGCGAAACACATTGTAAAGCGCCTTGGGTACCGCGCTAAGGTAGAAAATATAAGTGCAGACCATTTACCATAAACATTAACTAGTTTTCCTAAAAAAAAAAAAATGTTTTTGACAGAGTTCCCAAATCCTCATAAGTGGCCTGGTATGCACATACATGCTGATGCTAATGAGACATTCATGGTGCTAAATAGAGTTTTGATTTTCACCCAGTGTAAGTATACACTTGGACAGAGTACAGTGTATAATCCAGTATTCTTTATTTCATGCCTGACTGCAGGTCCATCTACACAAATCCTGTACAGACACAGAGATTACAGCTGGTTGCCAATCAATCCATTCTCTCTCTGTGTGCTTAGCAAACAGATGATCAAGACGTGCAAATATGGTTGACAAGTGAAAACACACTCAAAAGAGACTTAAAAGCATATACTGACTCATAGTAGTGTCTTTCTGAGTGCACCATGTGATACCATGTGAATGTGGACATGATGATCTGTGACTTATTTCTCATGAGTAAGGTAACTTTAGACCACCCTGCAGAGTGATCTTACTATACATACACACACTAACATGCATGTGTTGCAAACATGATTCACAATTAGTGTGACCTAAAAGCAGAGCTAAACAGCACGAAGAGTGCTTTTGTTATGTGAAATGCAGAATACGTGAGTGCAGGTATGATGGTGCAAAACTTAAATGAATCGCTCAAAAAATTAGTGGTTCAATGACAAACAATGGATTCTGTCTGAGATTGTTAATTAGGTACATTTGATCTGACTACTGTGTTCAGGCTGCACTTGTGTCTCTCTGTTCTGACCCATGGTGTTCCTGGAGAGCACGGCAGATCTTGTGGTCTAACACTCCGACCAAAACCCAGCTGTCACCCACCCACACCCTGGGCACACACAGCAAGGGGCTGGTGACTTGGTGGGACTGAGGGTCCTGATGGATATAAATAGCCAAGATAGGAGAGACAGCGGGGGTTAAATGTTTATGGTTGCAGTTGTTATCCTACATGGAGGGAAGAGCACTTGAGGGAGAGTAGGCAGGACTGGGCCAGCGGTGTTCACGGCGGAGGAGTTCTGGCTGGGCAAAGGATCAGAGGGAGCAGAGAGGGGATATAGTAGTGGTAATATAGAAAAAACTGAGATTTGGCGTGATGTTATGTAAATTTGGACCACAGATATGGACAGATTTAATGCAAAGTGAGACTGATGGATGCAGCCAATCATTAGGAAAGTGGACACAAGGAAAAGACACAAAGTGAGAAGGTAGAAAGGATTTGGTGGACCATATATTCCGATGCAGCCCTCTAGTGTGTGAAGAAAGATCAGAACATTCAAGTGTAGCTGCGAATTTATAATCTGATTTGGATTGTAACCATGGGCAACGCAGCAACATGTAAGGTCTGTGGATCAGATAAAGCTTTAAAGACCACCGGGAGTGACAATGACATAAACCAGCAGACTGACTACTACCAGGCTGCTGGTTCTGGATCTGAAGTTAATGATTTACTGGTAAGAGGTGGAAAAGATGAGATTCTGCTGTTTAAATTACTGTTGTGTCTTCTGATTCCTGCTGTACTAATTCCTTTTTCAGAGAAACGTGTTAATCTTGCTGCTGGTGGTCTGATTGTATGTGTGTGGTGACGTCTCATGTTAGGGGTTTGACCTCTGACACCACACAGGGGCGTGGCCTTGTCTCTGACACACAGCGGGGAGTTTGATTCTGCTGAACATGTGAATGCTCAGTAGTGTTTGAGTGAGGCGTTAACGCCATTAACCTCGTTATCAAAAGGTCAAAACCTTGTCAACGCTCGCTAAAGTCAATGCTGTCAGCAGTCGTTTGCAACTATTGTGGCACACAGTTACAAAACACAATGGAATTAAGTAAGCACGTTATATCTGTGTATGTTATTATTTTTTACCTAACCTTTGTGCAAACAGTACATGTCCGTCAGAAGGATCATCCTAATTGACTCAAAATGTCATCATCAGTCACTGACTGGTGATTGTCAAAAAGATATTTGACAGCTATTTTGTTTATTCATTAACCATTTAGGTTATTATTCTAGCAGGAAGTCCATTGTAAACTAACTATATTGAGGTTTTTGAAGCTGTTTTCCATTACAAAAAAATACATTTCACATTTATTTGACCAAACCAAAAAATATTAAACTAAGAAAATTAAATCATCAATATGTACAGCATTAAATTCATCAGCGGACTTACATTATTGTCTGATATTCGTTGCATTTTAGTATCAGTGTATATGTTTGAAGATATACAAATAAATAATCATAATGTGTCACTTTATACTCTATATTTCAATATAGTTTCAGTTCTTTTCCCCAGCTGATTTCAAGATGTATTTGTAGTCAGTGTGCTTTTATGCACTCTTACTACTTGGAAGAGATTTCGAATGATTTTATTTTCTCTGGAGTTCAAAATTTATAGTATTTTTGTCATGCTGTTGCTGTCAGCTTTGACAGTAAAGTTTATTTTTTTAACTGCAAAACTGCTGTCATAGTTTTTTTTTTTTTTTTAAAGACAAATTGCACAATGGACGAACGGGCTTTAGGTTATTTTACTGTTAAATTAGGGTTGATACTGATATTGTCTTTATAATATAGACATACATAGATATAATTTGGGGTCTAAACTCACAGTGTTTTGCAGAGGTATTTATGGCTGCCATGAGTTATGTTACAGTGAAATGTTGAAGGGGGTCAGGTTGTCTTGAGGAATATTTACAGTCGATATTGAATCCAGCTCAGAGGAAAAGGCCATGTGGGTAGTGTTGTTCTTCTGTTACAACCTTTAAAGAGAACCACAAGTAGGTCAACATTTTTGAGGGAGATCAATGTGACACTTTAAATTCAATGGATATACATTGTGAGGACAAAACGCAGGTCCCCATATTATAGATGATTAAATTCTAGTATGAAGACTTGGTCTTAGGGGAATGGGGAGGGTCAGGAATATTGTAATGTCAGTGTGCATGTGTGCGCTACAGCTGCTTTGTGCAGCCTTGATGTCTGACGGTTAAATTTAGAATTGCCAAACCACTCAAGAAAACTTCCATAAAACCAAGGAACAGTTTGTATACCCCTGTAAATTAGCTTTTCAATAAAAAATATTTTTTCATTCAGATGTGTACATAAATAGAGCTGAAACAAAAATATGGGAGGAAAAATCACTTGTAAATCATGAAATTTAAGACAGAAAAATGGGAAAGCACTTAATGTTCCATCAGTAAAAACTACCAAAATTAGAGTAGAATTTTTTTTAAAAACAAACAAACAAACAACAACAACACATTTTCTATGTTAAATGCCTTTTATCTTTATTAATTTAACACCTTTACCAGAATGATCAAAGATAGATATGCCACTTAATAAAACTGAAAACTGAAAACATGCCTCTTTTCTGTTTCAAATCTTATCCTAATTTTTGTTTTTGTCTCTCTAGTCCGACAGTAACACCAGTTTCCTGCGGGCTGCCAGAGCGGGGAACATCGACAAAGTCCTTGAATTCCTGAAGAATGGAGTAGACATCAGCACCTGTAATCAGGTAAGGAAACTTTCTACCAGACTTGAAACAAACTACATTCAGCAGTTTTATTTCTGCTGTTATTCGTTGTTTTGCTAGTTGTTTCTTTGTAAATTGTTCCTTTAGACATAGTATCTTTCTTCCTTCTTACAGTCAACTTATGCTACATAATATATGAAATCAAATCAAACACCTAGTGCTTCTAATCTCGATCTCAAGCTATAACAGAACATATTTTATCTGTTTTAACGGAGTAAACCTACATATGTACACATAGCTTTGAATAAATGCATCATCAATCGTAAATGATGGTTCTGAGCAAATAAATGAAAGTAAAATGAAATTGTGGCCTTTTTAAATTAAATTGGATTGTTTAAAACTCTCTCCATGTTTGCGTCAGGAAAGCGTGGGTTAATATTTGTTGTTTTCAGATCATATCTCAGATTCATTTGAATAAACTGCTGAAAACTGTACAATTCTGTGCAACTGTGTGCAAAACTAAGACCATTAATTCTCAATTGAAGTAGCAAATGTTGACACATTCTGAGTAATTTAAACATTACAAATCTTAAGTGTCTTGCATTTTTCAAATATCCACAGTTTTAGAAACAAAATATATGACAGCATAATGTTGAGACAAGAAGTCATGAAAGGATTTAGTCTGCAGCTTTGTGACATAAGGGCCTTTCATTAGTTTCATACTCAAACATTACATTTTTTTAGTTAAGAAAAATTTTAACGCTCAAAGTATGAATCACAATCAACAGTATTACCATAAATTCCACACTGAAAGTTTTCTTCTGAAGCCTGATGTTTAAAGTTAATCATGTCATAGTCTCATCAACATACACGACATGCAGGCCTGTCTGTACAGTAGGTCAAAGCTGGTAACTGATCTGCCAAACAAACCAGCTCAAACCAACCTGCTGTGTCATGATGGCATCAGTCAACAGAGCCAGGTCAGCACAAACCTAAACTCACCAGGCCCCCATCGCCACATTATAACCAGCCTCACATATACGGTTACTCCCCTCCCCTGCCTTCCAGCACACCCGTCCCTCCCTCCAATCTCATTTGAAGAGTCCGTGTCTCGCTGACAGCTGTTCCTACTCCCCCACATCCACCCTCACCCACATTCCAGTGAAACACTCCCCCACAGCTCTGTCCACCCCTCTGCCCCATTGATGTCAATTTGATTTACAGCAGTCACAAGGTAGCTTAAAGGAGGTTGGCGAGTGAGGCGACGTACGTGAGCGCATGTGTTGCGTTCGGTTGTGTGTATCATATTTCCTGCTGTCTCGTCGCTGTTGGCCTTTTATTATTATCCAGGAAATTAACAACAACTATTAATACGCTGGACTATAATTGGTTGGCAGCCAGGAAGTGGAAGCTGCCCACCAGTAGCTCTACTGGTTGTTGTCATGGGCACCAGGGGTTTTGTTTTGTGCAACAAGAGGAAAGCCTGACTGCACGGGGCTGGGATTGTGTAAGACACAAACACACACATTCACACTCATACACCTCCTGCCCTGCAACAGGAGAGCCCTGCCCTTCATAGTATTTCTTGTTGATCAGATGATCAAATTTGAGACCTTGTCAGGTGACCAAAAATGTGAGTGACTTTTTAAAATCTATATTCCAGTGATGCCCTCACTTTAAAATGCCATACACTATACAGCAAGTGTAATTTTGTGAATGACTAACACTCGATAAACACCTCCCAGCACGTGTGACCATCAGATGTTCACTCTAACTCATTTGTGTTTGTAAAGGACATACAGGATCTATTAATTAAAGTAAAGTTCCAAATTTGTAAACGCATCCCTGAACATTTGTTGATTTTTTTTTTTTTTCAAGTTTTTGTCAATTCAAATTTACAATTTTTACAATCCCTGGTGTGATATATATAGATAGATATATGTGACTATACAGGCTTAAAAGCATGCTCAAGATAACACGCATACATGCAGACATGCTTATAAGTCCACCACTTTTACTCTACCTCAAGGCATGTAGTTTGTTTGACTGTGACAGACAGTAAGAAAAAAGAAGGAGTTATTACCAGTCATTTAATACTCTAAATCCCATTCACGGTCTGTGTCTTTTCCTGAAGGTGTGTGATCACATTCAGTGACATGGAATTAGCATACTTATATTGGTGTTAGCATGGAGTGAGTCTAGTTATACTCCATACTGTCTGCCATGGGTTAATCTGAAGTAGTTTTTGTGTTGCTGGCAGCTGAGGAGTTGTTTCTTTCCCTGTCAACCTGAAAAATTCTTTGCACGATAGCTTTTTTTATTTAGCACAAAAACATTTTTGAGTTTCTCTTCCTTCTATCTATGGTTATACTGTTTCCATGGAGACTTACAACTTTATGTTGTAATGACAAATTACAAAAAATGTGACGGGAGCAAAGAAACACCCAGAAACTGCTTGGGGTTTCAAGGTTTAAAAAAAAAAACTACTGACATCATGTTAATTATACATACATGCGATGATGTCTTAAATAATCCACCACCAGTAATGGTTTAGCTGACACAGCAACATAGAAACAACATACAGCACAGTTATTTTTACTAAATCTGTGTCAACCCCTATGCACTCGTATTTTGACTGTAATTAATTTGCAAAAAAAACTAAACAAACAAACAAACAAAAAAAACACACAATGAACAAAGTCAAAGATTAAATTGAATAATAGCATTTTTTTTCAGTCATGTGGAATTGTTGAGGCCACGATAAATCACGTTGTGAAAATCTGACATTGTGACCGCACCAGCGTGATTAGCAGCAAAATTTCTCTCAAGGAAAGGAGTGAATGGAAAAGCACTCCAGACAATTACAGAGTCATTATCTGTAATAGTACTGTCAGCACTGCAGCCAGTACAGTCAGCTGTCTGATGATGAAAGCATCGACATGAAGTTATGAGTCTGAAAAGAGCAGGCTGCTTAACTGGATGATGCCATCAAATACACCAGAGGAAACACATGTTATGAAGTGTGTTTAATAGTATTTGCGGTTTCTGTACTTTTATCCATTCTGTGCATGTGCAAGTCACCGGTAGAAGCTGTAACGTCACACAGGAATTTTGAGTGTTGCCGTTGGCAGTGTGTTCATTAATAACTGAAGAGTCGAATCCTAGAAAGCAGCAACAGCGTGGTAAGGGCCAGAGTCAGGCGCCAAAGGCAGGAGTCTGTCCAAGTTAGTCAAAGAGAGCGAAGCAGAGATATACTTTTACCCTGCCAAAGCCACAGTCAAACTACGCTCCACTATTGCATAGGTTTTATGACTGAGGCAAATTAATAAATAATTTGTTTTCTTAAATTTAAGTTTATCTCCCAGCTTTTCAGCAGCACGTAAATTTAAGAGTGACAGAGGGAAGGAGGGACGCCTTGTTCCATCTATTTTAATACAGTAGACTTTCTGTTTGGACATGTGTGTGTGAGTGAATTGTGTATGTGTGTTGTGTGCATGAGCTGTTTTGTTTCATGTCCACACAATTAAAGGCCAGACTTCCCCTCTAATCTCCCCAAATGGTAATCCTGCGTAAGTGATATTACTCTTTAATCTGCTAGCATTTACATTACATCCTCTTTTTTTTTTTTCTCCCTCCAACGTTCATCCCCTGTGACACCTGGATCCATAAAACAACACCAAATAAATGTGACCATTTATCACCATGTGTGATCGTAACAAAGGTCAGGGGAGCGGGAGTATTAATCTGCGTTGGACGGAACTCAACGGTTTCCCTCCTGCCAGAGGGAGAGGCAAACTGCCGGGGATCACTGTGTTGGGCCGAATGTCCATTAGCTAAATGAAGCTTTCACTTACAGCTCAACTCAGAGGAAAAGGAGCTTTAGATCAGTTTGTGTGACAGAGTGTGTACATATGTGTGCCTGTTGTTGGTTTCGCTTGTCCCTCCTGGAATACGTAATGGTTGAAATGTGATTGAAACACTCTAATAAGATTGCATAATTTTTTGCTGTGTCAATGAACCCATTATTTCAGAGCTGATGCGTCACACCGCAACTCAACTTTGTGCTCATGCAAATGTCAGCAAAGTGCTTCTAAGCCTCACATGTGGAAGTTGTTTCATCTGATCTGTTGGCAAAGCAGTGCAAATGTCACCGCCTGACTGGCTACATACTGACTTGTAATTTAGTGAAGCAATGACATTGGAAGCTTTTGCTGTTTGACCTGACAGACACGAGGAGCATTTCTCCATAGCAGGAAGCGTCTCAAGCTCAGTGTGGCCACACCCTGCTAAAAACTTTAGCTAATAAAAAAAAAGAAATGTAGATGATTAGGGATAGACTGATTATTGTGGCTGATATTTGGTGTTTTTCTGTTTATCTGTATTTATTATTTTTATTGTTTTATTAAAAACTGAACATAAAACACAAGCCATTGCCAAAAATCAAGTAATTAACTACTCCCATAGTGGCTAAGGCTATGCTAATGGCTAACAGCTAAGTTAGAAGGCAGCCACATATCAATAATGCTTTAAGATATGGACCTTAGCGGGAGATTAAAAAAAATGATAGAACAGTGAAAGATTAAGAAAATAGAAAAGAACAGCATACGTAACTGCAGGAGACAAACCGATCAATCTCAATCGATCCCACATAAACAGAGGAGAGCATCCTAATCTAATCATTCCTATTTCTGTTTTGCATATTCGATTGTCGTCACCCTTATTAATGAAGCTCTCTGCTGTCACATGCTGTTAAAACATTACATGTAATATATATCAGTTCAATCTTTCTTGATTACCGGCAATCACAATAACCCTAAAAAAAAAAAAAAATAAAATCTCTAGATATGATTTACTTGTTACAGATTCTTCCAGTAATACAATGTCAATCATAATGTAAATAATAGTTACTTTATAATATTCAAGTAGGACTATATTTTGTTTTCATTTCAGTCGCTTCATATACTGTAATTTAAAGTCCATCACTTGGGAAGTTTCTTATATTTTTGATAAGCAATTAATCCCTATAATATCTGGAAGAAAAAAAAAAAAACAGATGACAGCTTGATAACGAAAGTAACCAGAGCTATAATGTGTGGTGTTTGTAATGTAACAGTGACTCCAATAAGAGATTTAATTATGAATCTACTTTCCAAGTGTTTGCACACTGCAGATCAGAGGACCGATGCACAGGGATGGGATGTGTTGCAGTAGCTCTTCAAATTACTTCTGGCTGACTCAGATTTAATTAAGAAACATAAGCGAGACTCTGTTTGAGAGCCATTTGCGCTACAGTAAAGTAGCTCTCTAATTGGAGGGCCATTATCGCTTTCAACAAAAGGGAAAGGCCAGTTATATTTTCTTTAATCGTCCACAAAGAGCTCATTAGGAACATCTTGCATGGAGACATCTATGCCTTTTGAAGTATTTATTTTTTTGGTACTGTAGCTTTACTGTAGCCCCGTTTTTACCATTTACAGTCATATCATATATCGCTCAACCAGACACTCACTTACTCAGTTTGGCCTTTGAGGGATGCCCTCTTTTTTTTCTCGTTTGGAAAGGTTGACATTTTCAGTAGCTTCTAAATATGAGTATCCATGTTTGTGTGTGTTTGTGTCCTACATACCCTCTATGACTGTGCAGAAACCTGACACCCCTTTTGGCTGTTTGGCATTTGGCGAGGAGGAGAGAGAGAGAGGGGTTGTGTTTTGTGTGTGCGTGTGTGTGTGTGTGTGTGTGTGTGTGTGTGCGCGCGCGCATGTTCTGCGTGCACTGGGGAAGGAAGGGGGCAATGATAGAGGTGTTAACAACGTAGCAGCTCCTCTTGCATATCAGTGCCAGGAGAGCCTCCAGAGCTGGGAAGCACAGTTCTTCAACTGTAATCCATCTGACTGAGCCTGCAGGGGGGTAGAAGACAGCAGACAGACCTAGAAAGTTGGTTCTAAACCAAAAGGAAGAAGCAGAGGCAGGTGGTGGAGGACTGGATGGAGCGCCATCACCTGTAAAAATCGACTATTTAAAAAGGCCAAAGAAAGAACAGAAAAAGATTTACGAAGAAGGACAACACAGAGAGAGGACAGAGCATGTAGAGGGATAGATAGATATTTGTTTTTTGAGAAGAAGCAGTCAGTCTGACGAGCAAGGGTTGAAATACTCGAAGTTTTCAAAGGGGCACAGCCCAGGATGGAGGAAAAGGAGGATGAGGTGAATCATTTTTTGTCTGTTTATTTATGTCTGTCTCAGAGGAGGTATACGTGCATGTGTGTTACATGAATAGATTATTGTGGTGTGAATACTTATCATTGTGAAACATTTACACTCCTGTGCTGCTGCTAACCTGTAGCTCTGGTTGATGTTCCCTGGATGGATTACTCACCAGAAATTTGCCTGAGGAAAAACTTTTTTTTCCCCTCAGACTTACACTTATTGTTTTGGATTTCCTGAATATTGATCCCTTTAAACAAGTCTTTGAATTCTAATAGTATTTCAGAAAATGTGCACATTGAACTGTTTTGATGTTGTAATATTAATAAATGGCCTAAATGTTCAGTTGATGGACAGAATCATGCAAGTTTGTGTAAAATATAGCTGCGTGGATTTTCACCATACAACAATGTGACTTTTCTGCTGTGGGCTTAACAATTTCATGCATTATATATAAACAGATAGCATGCATTTAATTCAGGAATATTATATTTCAATACATTGGATGGTGCAGTTGTTAATGTTAGTGCCTTGCGTATACTGCCTCCTGTGATGTAACGCCAGTATGTATATTGTCCAAGGTCTGTGATCAGGGGCTTAATGTTTGTAATGTAACTCTTTTACCACCTTGCAATTGCTTTCTTAAAGTCTTGTTAATGTTTTTCTCTGCAGAATGGGCTCAATGCATTACATCTGGCAGCTAAGGAGGGACACAAGGATTTAGTGGAGGAACTGCTACAGAGAGGAGCTCCCGTTGACTCTTCCACAAAGGTAAACATACAAATGAGCACCATGTTAGTTTATTATGCTGTCACAACTTTGCTGATATGAACATGGGAGAAGATAAGTGGGGGAAAAAAAGAAATGGGGGGAAGGTAGAGAGGTGAGTGACAAAAAGGAGTGCACATGTAAGTCATGTACAGTGGTGTCAGCTGTACAGTACCATGTAAATCACTGCTTCTCTCTTGAACTATGAAACGTGATCCATGAGGGTGATAAAGTGGGGAAAGTGTTAAGAAAGGAGTTCAATTTTGGAACTTAGCCTTCTGAACTTCAGTTTCAAGCTGTTTTTTCCCCTGTGGGCTCATTTATCACTGCAATATAAAGTCCTGCACCTCTGTGGAAACAGCAGGTAGAGGGGGTATAAGTAGAGCGAAGTCAAAAATATCCTTTATAATCAGTTACAATGGCATACAGCATTAAAAAAGGAGGAAAAAATGAAGGTTGAATTTCATTTGAATGTATATTTTTCTGAAATAAAAAATATCTATATATATATCATTTTTTTCAAGCGCCCACATCTGTTACTAGTACTGGAGAAAATGGTGCCTCTAAATACTCTAGATATTTTACTGTTTACATATTTCATTTGTTTTTATGTTTTTTTAATACTTGCCTCCTTTCTGCTCTGTGTAAACACAGCCAAACAATCCCTGGATTTCTGTCATATGACTGGTAGTCACAACTGAGTCAGTCACGTCACCACAGTTGTCCTGAGGAGTGCAGCATTCTTTGTTTTTTACAAAATCTGGTTAGAGAAAAGGGATTGTTCTTTGGCAAATTTTTAAATGAGATATGTAGATAAATGTGATTAGTATAATATATTATTTTTAAAAAAATCACTATTTAAAACTCAGATTTGGTTATCTTACCTGATTGAAGTGCGCTTCCACATGATTAGTTTAATAATCATTAGAACTGTAAAAACAGTTTTTACGGTTTCTGCCTCAGACAAATGGTGTCATTTTGGTGATTTAAAAAAAAAAAAAAAGGAAATGTGCCTTTCAATGTTTTCAGCAGGTTTTGAAGTTCAGGTTAAAAATGTCATAGTACAGTCGTGACTCGATAATCCCCAAAACCTAAAACCTTCTTTTATGTCGGATAGCAAGGCTGTTGGATTGTCATTAGGATGTCGAGATACAAGGAGGGCTTGATGCTTGAAGGGTCATTTGTTTTTAATTGTTGTTCATAGTCGTTATAATAACTAGTAGGGCTGGTCCGAATAGCACTATCCGATGTCTGGATATTCAGGCCCAATTAATGATGAATATCAGAATTTTCGGCGCGGTCGAGGGGGGGGGGGCACTTCCACCCTGGGGATGCACTCCGATGGGGTGGAAGTGGCGGGAAAGCACAGGCAGTACTTGGCTGCTGATGCTAGTTTAGGATAGCAGTCCCAGTTCTGTTTCCACCATCGGTGGCGGCATTAGCGGCGTTGGCGGCGGTGGCGTAAACACTGAGCATGCTCGCTGTGTGTGATGTCGTTGTGTCCTCTTCTGCACATGCGGAACATTTTTGGGTCTATGACATTCACACAGCAGATCACATATAAGCCACATTTAGTTGGAAATGTGAACGAACTCGCAAAAAAATCGGATTTCACAAAAAAATTCAAATTGAGCATTAAGTCCTGCAGTCTGAACGTAGCCAATCTGTCAGATTGTTAAGTCAGATAATGCACCGTTATCCTTATTTGTGACATAAAATGTCATGTTGGAGTTGGAATCCAAGGGTGTCGGTATGTTCAGGCTATTTTTCATGGGTTCCGTTCGTTTTTCCTAAAAATCCTGTCGGATAGCAAGGTTTTCGGATTGTTAAGGGTCGGATTGTCGAGTCACGACTGTAAATTAGTGAGATGATTTTTATTATTATTATTGTTTTTTTTGTTTGTTTGTTTTTAATAAATGCTTGTTCAAGGCTTTAACTTTTAAAGACATCGCTGTGGGTTAGTTGTTGCATCACACGTGGGTATTCTGCCACCTTCAGTGGAAGGGAAAGAGAGGAATGAGTGTGTAGTGTTGCTGCTTGGCAAGCCGCTCGCTATATGACTGTGAATGCCTCATGCGTCAGCCCGAACAGCGAGCAACAGTGAACAGCCGACGTGGAATCTGTCACCCTGCTGCTCGTGTCCTTGGACTGACATGAATATGTTCCTCAGTGTTAATCACAACTTCACATCCTGACACTGTGATGAAAACACTTGTGTAACATCATTTTGCATAATTTGGTTTTCAAGGCGGTTTTCTGTGTCCATTACAACTTTCATGCTTGCATTTCTATCAACCGGTTGTGATTTCTAAAGCGTTTCCACCCACATGGGATACACACTTGGCTGGTGGTCTTAACCCTGTTTTCTTTTTCTCCCTGCAGAAAGGAAACACTGCCCTCCATATTGCCTCACTGGCTGGACAAAAAGAGGTAGTCAGACTGTTGGTGAACAGAGGAGCAGATGTCAATTCTCAGTCACAGGTGAGAATGAACAGAACGATGCAGTAAAAAGTAAAAAGAATAGAATGTAATCTTCTGTGTGTGCATGTGTGAGCTGTATGCTTTTGTCTCTACAGAATGGCTTCACCCCACTCTACATGGCAGCGCAGGAGAATCACTTGGAGGTGGTGCGATACCTATTGGAAAACGAAGGGAACCAAAGCATTGCAACAGAAGTATGTTTGAGTGTAAAATGTCTGTGCATGTGTTGACTTGTATGAATCATAAAGGTACTCATTTCCCAATTTTCCTTTGAGTTTCTTTAATTTGATTGAATTCACTTTTTTTTTTCCCCTTTGCTCTTCCAGGATGGCTTCACACCACTTGCTATCGCGCTCCAGCAGGGCCACAACTCTGTTGTCTCCCTGCTGCTGGAACACGACACCAAGGGTAAAGTCCGCTTACCGGCTCTGCACATTGCAGCCCGCAAAGACGACACCAAGAGCGCTGCACTTCTGCTCCAGAACGACCACAATGCTGACGTCCAGTCTAAGGTGAGGGAGGAAATCGATGGACAAATGTGGATGGAAGGGGAGAACAAGAGAATACATTGAAAGAGGAAGGTGTAGTTGTATGAGTGTGAAGGGGCAAGTGAGGGAAGCCTAAGCATGTAGCAGAAAGGAGTGTCATAATGTACAGTCGTCCTCAAATGTGTCCGTACCCTTCCATTAAAGAAAAGGCAAAATTCACAATAGTCACTCAGATATCTACAAACTGAAAAAAGTAATAAGAAATTAAAAAAAAAAAAAAGAAGAAGTTAAATTATAATTAAGTGAAATAAGACATTGCTTTTGAATTGTGGTTAAAAAGAACAATTTACTTCTTTTTTTTTAAAAAAAAACTGTCCCGGACAAAGTAGAGCACTTTGCTGATGAGCAGTGGAACAAAATCAAAACACCTGTCAACAGGTGCAGAAGTCTGATTGAGAGTTACAGAAAACACTTGATTGCAGTGATTGGCTCAAAGGGTTGTTCAACAAAATATTAGTTTATAGGTCCCATCATGCTTGTTTGCTTTT